TTTTTAACACAAGTATCTGTACTTTTACTCAAGTACGGAAAGTGAGTACTTTTGCCATCTCTGCCTAAGAGTCACCTCACAGATTTATGAATTTTTGCTTAAATGTATAATTTTTTTCTTAATGAATAGACAAACATGACTTCATCCTACAAACAGGTGAAACAGATATAAAGTCTAATGTAAACTCCATGAAATCAATGGCGTTCTCTTCCGATCGCATGGATAATGGTGGAAGAAATTCGACAATATAAACGGGGAGAAAACATTCTATACCACTCTCTTTCTATGCGTTGTTCATCAAAAAGATTGAAGTGCAATGAAGACAAGAAAACATGAAAAATCAGTGCGTAAAGTGCACTACTTTTAATATATTTCATTTCTTAATTACTTATCTTCACTAAGTTTATGGCAAGCTTGAGTCGGTTTAAAGTAACCATAAACCTTATTTACATATTTACATTAGTAAGAAAATTATAAAACTCAAAGAAACATCAAATACAATAAATGTTTAATTTAACAAAATGAGGTACATTCTAAAGTTTGAATTTGGTTAAACTCATACAGCTTAGGAGGTTTGATGGGCTCTTGTGTTTCAGTAAGGGGTTATGTCCCTATCAGGGGTGTCGGTGACTTAAGGTTAATTGTTTGCGCGCCCAGTTCTTTCCATCCAGATAGGCCATGCTGGTCTTTGTCCACAGATTCGTTGGGCTGGCACAGATTCTTTTCCCTGAAAATGTTGTAAATCTTTTGAAAAAAGAAAAGAGACACAGTGTAAGTAAAAATAATGTTCATCCTTTCATTAACCTGTTCTTTGGTGAAGATAATCATTCAACTGAAAATATTTAGGGTAGTAAAACATAATAAATTCACTGTAAAATAACATGCAGTCTGTCAAATAATCAATCCGCAAGGTCAATTCTTCAAACTTACACAACTGCATTTTGAGTGCATGATGAACTGTCTTCTTTGTAGTAGCTTTTCAGAAAGTCTCGATGAACTTTTGTCCCAGAGATTTTCAGACAACAGGTTGAGATGCCACCTTTGAATAGGAAATTGCCATCAATCATTAAAATTGCAGAAAAATCAAGGTGAAACTTGCTTGAAATCTGTGATGTTTCACTTACCTTGTGATAAGGTTCTCTGAACCATCACAAATACCAGTAAAAGCAAGATGAAGGAGATAGTCCTCATGGTGTCCTTTCTAGCAGAGATTGCTGTGATGCAAAACTTGTGCCTGAAGATGTTTTAAAGACCACCAACACATTTTGCATTCATTTAAACCTCTTGCAGTTTGAGGTTTTCCGCACCCACAGATACACACACATACGGAAAGTACAAGTAATGCTTCCTTCCACAAAAGCTCACCGGTGCAGCTCTCGCCCCTCCACTCTCCTTACTGGTGGTCTGGGGGTGTCTAAATGTTTTCCACTTTCATACAACTTTAACAATACATTTTTTTTATTTGTAATTCAAGTTTATTCATAAAAATCAAACCTTACTTTTGATTTAGGGCTTTGTATAAATTATGAAAATATTGTGTATGATAAGGGAACTTTTTAGTAGTCTCCAAATACTTAGAGCTCTGTACAATACAATCTTATTTTTTCGCCTTTGTGGGAAAATAAGATGGGATTCTAGCTATTCACAGAATAACATGCCTTCTAGAGCACATTGCTGTTTTATTACTACCACTTGATTTTAGAAAACCTTAAAGAAAAAGGCTCCTGGAATTCTTTCATTCTGCAAAAGTAATCTGGAAAAGCTCATAGCTGAAAATTTGTTAAATTAAATATTTATATTTAACTAGAAGATGTTACGTTGAATTTCTACAGCACACTCTACAGAGCAATGCTCTACTGAGTGCTTCACTTTCTAACATGGAAGCTTCCTGTTCGGTTTTGAGGTCATTGTTCCCCTATGCTACTGCTGTACTCAGCTCTGCAACCACACAGTGTGCAGACAGATCAAATGTGCCTTCCCCCTTTGTTCTCGTGGCATTACCAAGTGAATGGGATGTTTTAACATGCACAAACAGTCGTTTTTTCCCCCCAACCCCACATCGTCTGTGGTCAAAAATCCTTTTGTACGTGTAAGTTAAACAGTATGACATGAACTATTGAACTTATGGGCCATATGTATTTGACCGCATTCTTAAGTAAACTAATTCAATTGCTTATTAAAACAAATAGCATAATAACTAAGAAGGGTTTCAAGATGTAGTGAATATGTATGAATAAGGTTCAAACTGATCATATGAATTGAAAAAAAGGGATTTGTGACACTTCCTTTGACAAGCTGATTTGAGTTTATTGTATTATTTGTAAACTGAACTTGCAGGCATTTCCATGCAAACTATTTAAAGACCTCAGGTTTAATAAGAATGTTTTAAAAAGATAAGAACAATCCTGTGTGTGGTATCAGTGGTCAGTTGAGAGTGATTAAAACTGGAGCTATTGCAGCAGAAATAATCTATCTTTGTAATTATCAGCATTTTTTGGCCTGCAATTACATACATGTAATAGTCTATGATATTCTTAGCACAGTGGAGTCCATTAGCATCAACTTAGCATTATTTGAATGCCACCGCCTACCCAGTTGTTGTTGAATGTTTCCATTGATTTCTTCAGATGGTCAATTCATGCTGCAAAACCCCAAATTCAGAAAAGCCAGAAGGCTACAAACTTCTCAATTTAGTTTCTTGAACCCAAACCTCAGTCCCAATATGGTAATTCCCAAAGAAACAAATGTTACTGAACACGTTGCTACAATAGGAGTTCCACTTATACTTAGATTTATTTTGTCATTTTGTATACACAAGTGTAAACAAAAAGAAATTACATTTAGAACAGCTCTCCAGACAATTTCATTTTTTTTAAAAGCGCAGCCTTGATAAGGTAAGCAGCAGTTGTTGTTGAGCTGCTACTACTGCCTCCAGCTCCTGAAGAACTCACTTTTCCAGGGTCAGGGGAGGAAGAGGACGATGATGACGATGCTGTGAGGGTGGTAGCCCCCTGGGTTGAAGAGGCTGACGTGGTTGAAGCAGCAGTGGTGCCATCGGCAGGTTTAGCAGCGGCAGACGATGCTGGAGAAGGTTTGGAAGCCGGAGGGGGCCGGGAGGAGCCGGAGGGGGATGTTTCAGCATTTGGCAGGGAAGCATCTAGAGTGTTCTCCTCATTTTCACCTGCAGAGGGCCGTGCTTCCCCTCTAGATGCAGAAGATAGCCTGGGAACAGCCTCAGATGAGCCTCCATTCACGCAGAGCTCTTTGTTTCTAGCCCCCCCCCAGGGCAACAGCACCATCCGGTACTGCTGGATGCAGGCGCGCTGGAAGCTATTTCAAGCGAGGGGGGCTGATGGCTGGGTTGGAAAACACATGACGTCATTATGTTGAGGGCTGTGGCTGACGTTTTTAACATAATATTGTAGGCCTACATTTGTCGCCAAAAACTGCCATTTAAAGTGCATCGGAACAAAGCATGAACATTTGAAACTTTATATCTTCTCTTTTAATCATTCAAAATTGATCGTCTGCCTGGCTGTGTGTTTCCTCGACGGGGCCGCCTTTTACAGCTGCTTTTTATGTCTCTGCTTCCGTCTCCTTGAA